TATTTTTACGTCCAACTTTGTTTTGTTCATTTATTTCCATTCTTCTTTAATCCATCTAATAAGTATCCATGACCGACCAAATGCCACGCAAGGCTGACGGCATACATAAAATTTTGATACCCTTTATCCTTGAGAAATTACTATGAAAACACAAACTGACGTGAAAATTAACATGAAAAATAATTAGATTAAAAATAATTAAATAAAGCAATATTGAGCTTTTCCGGTTCGACGAATTTCTTGTCGTTGATTTCTTTCTTTCTTCTTGTCTTCCCATATTTGAAACTCACGGTCTCGTCTAGCTTGGATTCACATGATATACGATTCATTAAAAGGAAAAAAAAATGTTCTTCAATAATTTTCTAGATTTCAAAGTTCGAACCCGAAATTTTTAATTAAAAATGGTTATAATTTCAATAAGTTCATGATTTCAACAGTCAAAGCCAAAGATTCAGCTACTATCTTTGCCCATTTCTTAATCGAACGAGAGATTTAAATAAGCAAATCAAATATAGGGGCCAACATTTTCTTTTCAAAACCACTAGGGACTTTAATTCGGAATTTTTACCTCCTGCAGTAAAGATTAACACCTTATTTATTTTAAATAAATATCATTTAAAAAAATTATGTTCTATAGATACCTTTTAATGTTTATAGCAAAATATCTAATTTTGGTTACCTCCTACCCCTAAGCCACTAAATACGCTATTCAGTTACACTATTTTCTTTCTCTATCTACTTTGATACATGTCATATTTTCTTTCTCTATCTACTTTGATACATGTCATTGTCTTCCCCCATATTTTGGGCTATTCTCCGGCGCCAACGCTCTTGAACTAGACTCTGCCATTCTTCCACCAAATCCCTACTGCTGCTTTTCACAAACCAATTGCCAATATATTTTTGGACTTTGACCTCTCTTTATAAAGCTAGAATAAACCGAAGTAGATTTATTTGACTTGTGAGAAAAACATAGGTCTATCGGGAACAAAAACCTTTTGAAAGAATCCAACAACAACAACTTGTCGCCATTGCTACACAAGTTGGGAGGAAGTGACCTCGGCTCCGGCACCATCGCCGAACCAAGGCTGCGCGTTTTCACTACCGGCTTCCGGTGAACGGCGGATTCGCCGGAAATTCGGGTTTGTTCTTGAACAAAGACGACGGAGTTTGGGGCTAAGCAACTTGATTTTTTGTTAATATATTTCAATGTATTTTCATGTATTTCATTGTATTCATTGTCTTTTTTTTTCTTTGTAATTCAATATATCTCATTGTATTCCATGTATTTCGTTGTATTCACTGTCTTTGTTTTCATTGTATTTCAGTGTATCCCGCTGTATTCTATGTATTTCATTGTATTCACTGTCTCTCTATATGCCATGAATGTATTCATATGTTTTTTTAATTAATATAATTTATGTATTCAGATGTATTATATAATTTCTCTGAAGATTGCTATGTTTTTGGGGTATTTTTCGGTTGAGAATCTTTTTTATAACTGAAAATACAAAATTTATGTGTTATAATTGAGTTTGTTGAGTTATATTAGGAGTTTATTATGTTAATTGATTCACTTTCTGTTTTAAAAACAATGTAATCCCCTATTTCATGCCGTGAATACAGTCGAATACAATAATCTGTCCAGCCGTAATCCCATGTTTCACTTCATGAATACAGTCGAATACACTCGAATATAACAACTGATTAGCTGAACTTCCCTGATTCACGCCTATTTTTGCTACTGTATTCATGAATACAATAGCTTATATACATCAAATACATCTTATAACGGCAAAAATGGTAGCTATAATCCATAATATAGCAAATGGTATCTATAGATGACTAATTACTACTAAAAGATAATGCTTTATGAAAATTGCCCTTTTAATTCCGGTACTAAAATTATTAAGGATTGTTGATAACTTGATACCTTTTAATGTTGAGTAATTACTGAATATTGACAGTACTTATAGTTATATATTCTAATATTAATTGTTTGCTATCTTATTAAAGATAAAGATTTATTGTAAAGTTAGTCGGAAAGAATGAATCCCAAAAATATAAATAAAAAATAGTCTACAATCCAAGCTCTTCAATTGATTAATAAAAAGTCCTTAGTTTGTCATTGTGAAATTGGTAATTAAACTTATTTTTATCACAAAGGATACTATGAATTGTATTTTTTATACTTCAAAGGAAAAATGAGAAGGCAACTCTAGTATTCAAAGGAGTCTTATTTTAGCTTTTCAATCTACACTCTAATTGTTGTGTAAGCTGACTGAACAATCTCAGTCATATATTCTTTTTCGAATGGTACACGTGTTATGTCATTTTTTTTATCAATACGAGAAATTCCACTACTAAAAAATTAGGTTTTAACGACTGACAAATTTTAGAGCTAAACAGAAAAATCTCTCGCTAATCTCATTTAGCGACGGATTATCAAAAAATTCTGTTAGCTGCGAGCATTTTAACGACATATTAGCGACAACGTTCGTAGCTAATTCTAATTTTTGTTAGTGTTTATTATGGACGAAGAACACAAAAATTTGAGAATTGATAAAAGCCAAAATCTCTAACTAATTGTATAAAAATAAAAGAAAAGTGGATTAACACGTTTCAGAAGAAATAAAAGCTAAAAATTTTGAGAATTGATAAAAGCCAAAATCTCTAACTAATTGTATAAAAATAAAACAAAAGTGATTTAACACGTTTCAAAAGTAATAAAAAACTGGAAATTTTGAGAATTGATAAAAGCCAAAATCTCTAACTAATTGAATAAAAATAAAACAAATGTGGATTAACACGTTTCAGAAGTAATAAAAGCTGAAAATTTTGAGAATTGATAAAAGCCAAAATCTTTAACAAATTGTATAAAAATAAAACAAAAGTGATTTAACACGTTTCAAAAATAATAAAAAACTGGAAATTTTAAGAATTGATAAAAGCCAAAATCTCTAACTAATTGAATAAAAATAAAACAAATGTGGATTAACACGTTTCAGAAGTAATAAAAACTAAAAAAATTGAGGATTGATAAAAGCCAAAATCTCTAACTAATTGTATAAAAATAAAACAAAAGTGAACTAATACATTTCAGAAGTAATAAAACTAAAAAAATTGAAATTTGATAAAAGCCAAAATCTCTAAATAATTGTATAAAAATAATAGAAAACTGGATTAACACGTTTCTAAAGTAATAAGAAATTAAAATTTTTGAGAATCGATAAAAGCCAAAATCTCTAACTAATTGTATAAAAAAAAAAAGTGAACTAATAGAGGTCTCGGATTCGAGCCCCTGGGTATGGAGTCGCCTTTGTTAGGGAGCGCTTTACCCTCAATGTGGGACTTTCCGGCGTGAATCCGGATTTAGTCGGGCCTCAGTGTGGATCTCGGATACTGAGTGGAAAACCAAAAAAAAAAAGTAATAAAAGCTAAAAATTTTGAAAACCGATAAAAGCCAAAATCTCTAACTAATTGTATAAAAATAATAGAAAAGTGGATTAACACGTTTCAGAAGTAATAATAAACTAATTTTTTTGAGAATTAATAAAAGCCAAAATCTCTAACTAATTGTATAAAAAATTAAAGAAAAAACTGATTAACACGTTTCAGAAGTAATAAAAATGCTGTACCATTTATCCCCACATGTATTTTACCAACCAGAGCGTGTCAAAAAGCCCACAATTTCTTCTCACCTTTGTAACTGTTCGTCTGAATTCAACACAAAAAGCCATCGGTTTTTCCAAAATAAGAAAAATGGAAAAAAACAAATAAAAATCTGTCCAAAATTCCAACACATTCCTTTGAATTCTTCACAACAAATCAAAATCCAACGTTCACCACTTCACCTACACAATCTTAAAGCTCCCCACAACAAAGATTATCCTTCTAATTTTACATAAATGCAAAACACATCCATTTTGTTTCTAAAATTATACGTTACTTCCATCTAATTTGATACTTTTATAATAACGTTTCGTTAGTGGACATGCATTTTATTTAAAAGAAGTTAAAGTTATATAATTGAAAGAAAGATTTTACCAAAAAACTAGCTCAAACTAAATTTTGGAACTTGAATTTTTTTCCCCCAGAAACTGATCAAATTTCATGAACAAATAATATTTTTTTGATTTTTTAAAAATAAAGGTAAAAAAAATCTATGTCCATACGGGAAGTAAGTTAAAGACATTAATTTGATTTGTGTATATTTTGTGGCAAGATAATAAAATATTGAAGTAGCGACTAAGGAGCTTTTTATTCTCAAACTCGATGAGTGTTATTCATGATATCACATTTAACTTATAGTCTGGATCAAATTAAAGATGAAAAAGGATCAAAATAACAAACGTTGTTAATGTATGTATCAATTTTTTTGAAATCTAAAATTTAATTGGTCTGCATTATAAAAACCTATTCGAAGTTGAGATATCTTTCAATATGTTTAACTTAATGTTCTATTATCAAACTCGATGATAGTTATTTATGATGTCATATTTACTTTAGAGTTTGAACAAATTAAAAGATAGAAAAAGATCAAACAACTAGTGTTGTTAATGTACATATCACCTTCTCCGAAATCTAAATTTAATTGGTCTACATCATAAAAAAAATATTACAATTTGAGATATTTTCCAAGAAATGTGTTTACTTTTGCAACTCCATTTCTTTCTTTATGCGAATAATAAAAATTTTAATGGTAAAAATATATTAACCCTACAAACTAACATTATATTAATTTAGTATTGAATTGAAGTATAACCAACTCATATAACCCAATAAACCAACAATGCAACACAATTATCAAATGCAAAGATGGAAAAGAAAGAAATGCCAACTTGGGAACTAAAGAGTCGTAAAACGTAATTCTTAAAATTAGAGAGGGGATCATTTGAAATATGATAGAGTAAAGGGGAGGTTAATACAATTGACTCAAACTTGTAACTTAAAGACGAAAATTCCAGGAATATTACGACTAAACCCACCCAAATAAAAAGAAAAAACATCCCCCATCCTTTTTTCTCTCTCTTCGTTTTTTCCTTCTCATTCGACAAGTACGAAGAAGAAGGAGAAGAAGAAAGGGAATTTAGTGAGAGAAAGTTTAGAGAGAGAGTTGAACCCACAGTTTTCAGCTAAAACCACTGTGATGGCAATTTCTAGGGTTTTGTGAATTTGATAAGAAATTCAGAGGAAAGAGGAAATCTGAACTCTGAGATGGAAATGCCAGGTAGACGATCGAATTATACTTTGTTGAGTCAAGTTCCCGACGATAATTTCCTTCCTCCGCCGTCGAAGTACGGAGGTGGCGGCGGAGGAGCTCAGTATTACGAGTCTCATTCTGGCGAGAAGAGTAATAAAGGCAAAGGAGTAGGTGATAATAGAGGATATGATTGGGATTTGATTGATCACCGTATGATGCAAGCGCCGACGACAAGTCGGATCGGTGCGGCGGCACCGTTTCCAGTTTCGATTGGTTTACAGAGGCAATCGAGTGGGAGTAGCTTCGGTGAGAGTTCGATCTCCGGTGAGTATTACATGCCGTCGTCGCTTTCTAATGCTGAAGCATCGTTTGGATATCCCAATGACGGTGGCGGTGGCGGTGCTGAATTGAGGATGAAGCCGTTGGATGCTGCTAACTTGTGTGGCTCATCTTCTAAGAGTTGGGCACAGCAGACCGAGGAGAGTTACCAGCTGCAGTTAGCATTGGCTTTACGGCTTTCTTCAGAAGCTACTTGTGCTGATGATCCCAATTTCTTGGATCCTGTGCCTGATGAATCCGCTTCCCGTGCTTCTGCTTCAGCTGCTTCAGTCGAGACCGTTTCCCATCGATTCTGGGTATGGTTAAGGGTTATTCTTTTGTGTTGATTTTTTTCCCCATGTCTATATTTATTTGTATGTCTGCGTCTTATGCTTTAGGAATGTGTTGAACAATTCGCATTGTACACAAAAAAACAAAGAATTGGTTTGGATACCAAATCTTTGAAATAGGCGATAGATTGGTGCTGAGGAGTGTTTGGTTTGGTATAAATGTAGGTGACGTAGATTAATAGTAAAAAGTGGAGGACAGGGTATTATGGTAGTGTTTAGGTGATACTTTTGAGTATTAAAGGTTGACAATACTGTCTAATGTCTAACTGTGGAGTAAGAGGGCAGTGACTTCTGTCCAAAAATAAGGAGGAAAAGCCAATTTCCTGTTGTCAGAGAAAATTTCCTGGGAAAACATTTTCATGATGTAAGGTGATATTCTCCTGGAAAGCAATTTCCTTCATAGCAACACACAAAATTCGTAATGAATGTGTTTCTTCATATGCAGGTGCACTTAAACAGTTGTCATATATCAAAATTGTTGGATCCTTTTACAACTCCTAGAAAGATGAGTAGCTTCTATAGTAGTACTGCATCCTGATATCTCTAGAATATGTCGAGACTAATGTGTCACGTAATGTGGAGTTCAAGAACGAAATTAATTGTTTTAGTCTCTCAGAGGTTGCCTAACATCTTAAGCTACTCCAGTAGTGTTGTAAGGAGATATACAGTGGATATCCATCTTTATTTTCCACAAAAATTGGAAGTTGTTCTTTCTCTGTGAATGAAAGTTTCCTTTCTCATTGTATAATGCAACATCAATGTGTTCAAATCAGCAGTGTGTATTCTGGTATTCTTTTATCATCATATAGGTACAGGTTAATGGGTCAAGTGTTTCATTCAAAATCTGGTTGACCGGCTATCTAATTCTTGATTGAAAAGGAAAACAAAGTTTGTTATCTATCCACTTTAAGGTATTGTATACCCCTTAGACCCTTATATGGTTGTCTCTGCATTCTTGATGCACCTGCAGCTTAAGTATGATTTGTAAGGAGATATGTTTACCTGAACTGACATGAATTTTTTACCCTAGACACATAACCTTACTGGAAACGATAATGCCTATTACTTTTAAATTTATACATAGATCAGCTTGTATAGGCACATAGAAGGTAATAAAAGGCAAGGCCCTTTTACTGTTTTTGATACAACAACAACTACCCAGTTAAATTCCACTAGTGGGGCCTAGGGAGGGTAGTGTGTGCGCAGACCTTACCCTACCCCAAGGGGATAGAGAGGCTGTTTCAGAAAGACCCTCGGCTCAAGAAGACGAAAAGAGGCAATATATCAGTACCATAAAAAGAAACCATGAAACAAATAACAACATCACCAGAACTAGAAAATAGGTGAATAGCAAGACAACAACCAGTATGTACAACCCGACACTAAGAGGAACGAAAAAGTAGTGTAACTCAACATTAACCACTAACAGTCTTAAGACTAAGTCCTAACATACTAGCCTCACTCTGGAGCGCCGTAGAAATATGCACAACTATCTCCCGCCTTACAACCTTAATGCTCGACCTCCACAATTTCCTGTCCAGGGCCATGTCCTTGGTAATGTGAAGCCACGCCATGTCCTCGGTACAAACTACCGAGAAGATTCCCTTTATCAATCCATTATGGAGGAGAATTAGTAAACTCTTGTCTAGAATATTCAAGACAAATTATGAGACTCATACTCATTCTACATATAGTATGTGTATGATTGATGAAGATAACTCTAAGATCCAGTGTATCCAACCAATACACCGTAATTTCCAAAAATAGTATTGCTATATGGGAATTACTTCATAATTTATGATCGCTCCATAAAACTAATTGAAAAGAGCGTTAAAGCAATAGCTGTAATTGTGTTTCAGTAAAAGGAGGCCCAAAATAGAATAAAATTTATTTCTTTTGAGTTTGAATTTTAATTTAGTATGAAGTAGATCACCCGATACCTACCAAAGAAGATAAAAGGACTTTTACATTACGCATTTTTCATAAGGTGTTAATGAGAGTCTTTTGTTTATTGATAAAAAAACATGTTTTTCATAATGTGTTAATGAAATCTTTTGCTTGCTGATTAAAACAAACACGTTGGTAGAAGTGGAGAAGAATTGTACCGCATGGATAAAAGTTTCTCTTTTGGAGAAGTGGATGAAGTTCTGGATAAGCGAAAAAGAAACGGCTTTTGTTTCTGGATTAGAAGAGTAGAAGATATTTATAGAATATTATAGTGCTATGTGATTGTTATTGCATCTAACATAAATATTCATTTCTTTTTCGGGCATCGACTCCCTAGGTTGCCCATTGGGGAATTATCTTGTACAGTGAATTAGTTTAAGTTTAATGACACACTTTTTAAGACTACCATTCTGATTACTTTTCTTTTTCTTAAACTTAGAAGTGCATGCTTCAAATGTTATTTACATTGATAGGTTGGCCTGGAAACGATGTATGTGAGAATTCAGGGTGAAATGAAGTATAATCTAGAAAAAGTAAGAGTATTGAAGAATACAACTAGAAAGCAGCTCGGTGCCCTAGATAAATTTGCAAGGATCTTGAAAGTTGCAATTTAAAACAATGTACTTTGTTTATTATAAAAAAACTGGAAGAACATAGTAGAAATGGGACAGAACCCATGTTACGGATCACAAAATCCACTTCAAAAGTGTGTTCTTTCATTCTATTCTTTGTTTTGTTTGTGCGCCAGGTTCTGAATGTCTATATCAGAAGATCCGCTCATTGTTTCTAAAGTTCTTCCTAGAATTTTTTGTAGAATTTTTTGTATTAGAAGTAAAACATTGTTCCCTTGGATGGAAGCAAAGAAAATTATTCTCTTCTATTAATAAACTGGATAACATTTACCTAATATGTGAGATCGTTTCGACTCATGAAAGTGGAATGAGAATCACCGTCCTACTTAAACATGGGGTAGGCTGCGATAGATCATACATTGTATAAACTCAAAAATAATAAATAAATTAGAATGGTACTTGAAAATTTAACATAATACAATATTTATAAGAAAACATTTTTAAGAATCTTTTAGATTAAGTCGTGTTGTTTTTAGATTAAAATTGTTGCGGAATATCTTGAGACGAGGTTAATTATTTGGAATGGAAGATCGAGTGTTTGATTTTTAGCATTCCAAAATGATACATGTATCCTAATGATTACATCAATAAGGAGTTAGTGGGTTTAACAACACCAATGCCACTTCAATTGGTTGTGTTCCCAACTCTAGTTTAAAATTTGAATGTCTATTTTTAATTTGGCATGGAGTAGAACTTGTGTATTAGCACATATCAATTGACATCATGTTGAGTTAGTAGCCACCATTTAATGTGGGAAATCAGAACGGAAGAAGAAGTGAAATTTAACAACTTGTTTAACTTACCTTTAAGGATAGCGGAATGTCTAGTTTGGACAAAACATTGATGTGAGAGTAAAAATATGAATTATCACAGATCAAGTAACTACGTGTTCAGTTTGTAGCTCCTTTTTACCCCTTGAAATGTAAGATGGATGAAAGTGCGATTTAACAAATCGTTTAACTTACTTTTAGGACGCTATAATTGCTTTACTAAAATTGAATGCTCAATTGGCGGCTCTATCAGAAAGATTGGAACGTGATGCAATCTCTTTCCTCAACTCTACATCAACAGAAGTCAAGACAAAGTCCTGAAGAAAGAAAGGACCATTAACTAGCGAAAACCAAATGTTGTTTGCCATCCTACAGATGTCAAAATTCTACAACCTATAGGCTTAATATTTGACCCTGAATCTAGACAAAAATGTTGGTAACGAATAAATAAAAATAGTTGGTAGTATATTCACAAGTGTCATTGCAGCAAACAAATGTAATAACGAGGTGGAAGCTGGGACACTGATGACTTCACATCTTAAATGACAGGTAGGGAGGAGCTTCTCTACTTTATCAAAGCAAATATTTTCTGACGTGGGAAATGCTTGTAATGGTAGAGAAAACATGTTAACCAGAGGTCTCGGCTTCGAGTTCTGGGAATGAAGAAACTTCTAGTAGGGGGCGCTTCCCCTTTTAGTGCCCCCTATATGAGGCGATTGAGATTAGTTGGGTCAGTGATTTTCGAATACCAGATGGTTATACGAAAGAAAAATGTAGACAAATATGCCTTTTTTATAATAATGGCGTACAAGCCAATTTTGCGCACTTCGACTATTCTATCGGGTACTTGTTACCTCCAATTAACACAAGTATTGGGTACTTTTGCCCATCAAGGCTTAGGCAGATGAGAGAATTTCTATGTCCGCTAGGATTTGAACCCTAGTCTCCCATGATTTTTATCCTTCCTGATCTCGTATGACATTTCGATGGAGGAACTTTAGGACATCATTGGTTTAATGTGCCAAAACGCTTGGAAATATTACCTCAATGGTATTTCTTTCCTATATTTCAAATACTGCATATAGTGCCCAAGACAGTTGTAGTTATTGGGCAATGAAATGGATTTTGGAATATATTAAAAACTTTAGTGACGTCTAGGTCTTAGTTAGATAAGAACATGTCATTTTGAGTTAGAATCTAAAACCATCGAGCAATGGATGCAGATGCATTGATTACGCCTTGTTTGCTAAGTTCATTAATAATTCTCATTAGCCGATTCTCGTGCATATTCCTAATATAAAGATCTATTTGCCAATACTAGACTTTTTGACGGGAGAAAGTGGAGAAACAAAGAGGGAGAAATGAGGTGGGTATTTATTCAGAAGCCTCACAAAGGAGCTCTCACTGGTCAAAAATTACCCGATTGTCTCATTTGGATCTTTTAGTTTTGATATAAATTTGGTTTTCTCTGGAGTGTCTGATCTTTCTTGTATTTTGGACTGGAAATATGAATTGAAGTATGTAAATGAGGGAAAAGAAAAGGATGAGGAGAGGAGCGTTCTTGTTTCATGTACCCCTATTGATGAAGGTTCTCTACTTTTTAGTATACTGCTTGTATAGCGGAACTTTTCCAACAGTAGTGAAATTAGTTACCTTATCTTTTTTGTTTCCTGTACCCTTGTTCTTAGAAATATGATTCCTATGAGGCATATTAGGAAGATGAAGGGGGTAGAAGTTTTCTGTTCACACGTGTTAATGTATTGTTTTCACAATGATATCTACGAAAAACTAGCGGTGACTTATTATTTGTCTTCTTTACTGTTTGTTGAAGTAATAAATATACTTCTATAACTCATGCTGATAAAACAAGAACTAAAATAGTAGAGTGTATGACATCCTATATATTCGGTTGAAGGGTATCTTTGCTTGAGTTTCTGAGTAGTGGAGATATTGGGAGATTATTTATCTCAAAAACTTCCCTTGAGCAGAGAGTTTATCGGAAACAAACTCTCTACCTCTACAAGGTAAGAGTAAGTTCTATGTACACATTACCTTCCCATACCCCACTTGTGGAATTATACTTTTTTTTTTTGTTTTTTGTTAGTTGTTGTTGTTGTTGTTGTTGGCTATCTCAAAATGGGGCGTGTATGGTTTTTCTGACCTTCGCCTTTGTTTTTCTTGAGAATTGACGAATCGGCTAAGATCTGCATGGATATTATGTTGCGTGACTTTTACGTTGGTACAATTTCAAGCTCGGTAAAACTCTTTAGATTTTTACTTTCTTGATAAATATTCCTTAATACATATTTGGTCAGCCTCTCTATAAAAGTAGAATGTCAATCTGCTATGCAGTAGTGCTGAATGGAGCACTGTACTCATTTTGCAGTGATCTGGTTTTGATTTTCAAGTTGAAACATTTAGCGCAAAAATTGATCTGTGCATTGGCACTTTTAACAGACTCTTGATATAACTTGTCTTTAGAATTTTACAGATTAGGCTTTTAGTATATGCTGGTCACATCTTAAAGTCCTTTTACAGAAGAGGGTATAGAAGCACAGTTCTTTAACTGAGACTTTCATTTTAGGATAGGCTCAGAATTGTAGGACATTGGAGTCCAAAGTATGTTGGTGAAAAGAAAAAGACTTTCCTTCTTCTGAGCTGTGATTCATAGACATTGTCAAATAGTCCACTCTTTTTTGCTGTGTTGAGTGACATTTGTGTAGTTGTGATGGTTATTGGATCAGAAATACTTGCTATTTCAAAATAGTCGATTACTTTCTTCAATGAGTCCTTCTTGGAAATATGCTTTCAGAATCAGCAGAAGATGCTGCCATATTAAAGATAGATAACTCCCCCAGAAATAGGAGTTTTTAGCAGAATATAGTACTGTGGTTTTTGTGGAAAAGACACTAAATTTTGAGGCTGAGCTGCTTAGGCTATCTTCATAAGTTCTGTTTCGGAGAAGAGAGTTTTAGGTTTCTCGTATGTAAGATGTGAGCATTGGTAAACCCTCTCTTCCTGTACCAGTCCTTTTCTCTCCATGTGTTTCTTGTTACTGTGCCAATAGGAATGACTTAATAACTATCTTCATTCGTGATTTTGTATCTTGTCATTCTCACCAGTCAAGCAGAATTTACTCTGCTTATGGATTCTATTGTTTTTGTCATTTGTTTTATGTTCTTATGATCTCTCTTTCTCTGATTGACACAATCATGCTTTCCAGATTTCCCAGTTTTTTTTTGCTGAAAGCAATCTGCTATGAATCTTTGTTCTGTACCAGGTAAATGGATGCTTATCGTACTATGACAGAGTGCCTGATGGATTTTACTTGATTCATGGGATGGATCCATATGTCTGGATTGTCTGCTCAGATCTGCAAGAAAGTGCCCGCATTCCATCTATTGAATCATTGAGGGCTGTTGATCCCTCTGTAGTACCATCACTTGAAGTGATTTTGATTGATCGGCGTAGTGATCCTAGCTTGAAGGAACTGCAGAATCGGATCCATAACCTCTCACCTAGTTGCATCACAACAAAAGAGGTTGTTGATCAGCTCGCTAAGGTAGTCTGCAATCATATGGGGTGAGTGCCAGAAACTTCTTATTAGAAACTCTGATGAAGTGACATTTCGTGTTTTTCCTTTTTGTAATTAAGTTTTATTTGTTTTATAAGGGGCACAGCTTCTGCTGGAGAAGATGAGTTGGTTCCTATGTGGAAGGAGTGCAGTGATGACCTGAAGGATTGTCTAGGATCTGTCGTGCTTCCCATTGGTAGCCTGTCTATTGGCCTTTGTAGGCATCGAGCTTTGCTATTTAAAGTATGTTCTAAATGTGATACATTGATACTAAGTTTGCTGTTATAGAGTTTCAAGATCTACTTATGCAGTAATTTAAGGATCAATATCTGACTACTGGTGTTCATTTAATTAAGTAAAAATAAAGAGAAAAGAAAAAGCATGTTTTTGCAAATTATTGCCTTTTCTGTGTCCTTGGAGTAAATGTACATTCAATCAGGAGTATTTTGGTTTTGGTGGAACTGTGGAAGTTTGATGTTTTATCATGAATTTCACATGATCGTTGCAGGTGCTAGCTGACATCATTGATTTACCATGTCGAATTGCGAAAGGATGTAAATATTGTAATAGAGCTGATGCTTCCTCATGTCTAGTTCGATTTGGACTTGACAGGTACAAATCCAAGTTATAAATGATCTATATGGAATATATTTTTAGTTCATATTTGGCGAAAAGGGGAATGAGAAATCCACTGTATTTTAAAAGCCATGTTTGTTTGAAAATTTAAATCAATGATAGATAAGAATTGATGTTGCACTTTTCCTTTGTTTTGAAAACCATATGCCTCATGTGTTTTATTTGTGATAATCAAGTTTTACTTCCCTGCTCTAGTATTCATCTGGATAGTATGTGAAATTGATTTGGACTTTGATTGTGTTGGCTAAAATCTTTTACCTCGTATTCAGTGTGTAATATGGTCAACTTCTACATTTCTTGACCTTTCTGGTTTTTGCTTTCTTTGAAATGCGTAGAGCTGGTTTGTGTATAGAAATGAAACTTACAATGCTAGGATTGGGAAAAATGACAATGATGATGTTTGTTATATTTTTGTGTGGTCTTTCTACAATCATGCTGCAATATATGTCTGTAAGATCAATCGTTGTATCTAGTTCTTGGTCTATGTTAGTACCAACTGAAGTTTCTCCTTGGACTTGTTAATAGCTGCCACTCCTAGTTTTGGCAAAACCATAGAGAATGGTAGAGTTTGGAGTATGTGGGTCACTTTATTTGATATGAACTCAGATATGGATTTCTTTATGTTTTCTAAAGGAAAAAAATACGCATCTTGAGACTGCATAAGAGTACTATATATGAAATATAGCTAAAAGGGGTCGTTTGGTAGGATGCATTAGATAAAATAATGCATGCATTAGTTTTGTGTATTAATAATACCATGTTTGGTAGACATTTTGAACTTATGCATTAGTTATGCAAGCATTACTTATACATCCTATTTGGTATTATCCTATGCATAACTAATGCATAGAAAACCATGGTATTAGCAATGCAATGGGTTTTAATACATGCATTAGCTTAGTTAAAGACAAAATTATCCTCCAAAAGTTATGCTTGATTAAAATATGATAGTTATTATATTAAATGCAATTTTAAAATAATCCAAGTAGTGAGAAATAAAATTATAGCTCTAGTAAATAAATAAATACTTAACATATTCCTTTTTTATAAATAAATATTTAGTTCTATATTACAATATATGTAGACAAATCAAATATTTTTTTTTAAACTTTTTCATATAAAAACATTTCTCAAAATATGTCTCTTTTAAAAAGTTAGAGTGATGGACTGGTTTGAGGGCATTTTTGTAAACAAGCAATTCTTTTAGAAATTGTGCAATGCTTTAATACATCAAACCAAATAATGGATAAGAAATATGTCAGCATAGCTAATACCAGCATTACTAATACACTTCATTCAGCATTATTCTTATGCACCCTACCAAACGACCCCAAATTGTTTTAAATTTGGTTACATAAATAGTAGTCAAACAAAAAGTTGTTCGACTCCTATACATAGTAATGGTACCAGTCTCTTTGGATGATAGGGAGTATATTGGAGTGACAATGATGTGGTTGATTATTGGTATGATGAGATGGGAATCTTAATATTTGAAAAAACAGATCCCATTGTTAATGTGACTGGAATTGTTTTACCTTACTACATTAGTAATAATAATAGATTGTTAGGTTCGTGATTCGATTAGAGGTCCTATCTTATGCTCAACCCTTAAATGTGGAGAAGAGAAATCGAATGGAAAAAACTAGGAGCAAGTATTGTGTAGTGAACAGCAGGATGTTATTTTTTCTGTGCTTATTTTGACTTGGGATTTAGCATGAAAAAATGGTAGTCTTTATCAAAATATGGAAGTGTTAGTTTTTCTGTACACAGCCAGATATATGCTATTGCTAGTAAGGTTAAGGAGGACATAGACAGTCTTAATTGACATCTAGCTCTTCACCATACAGGGAGTACCTGGTTGATTTGATTGGGAACCCTGGATGTTTATGTGAACCAGATTCCTCGCTCAATGGCCCATCTTCTATCTCAATTTCTTCACCATTGCGATTTCCGAGATTCAGAGAAGTTGAACCAACAATTGATTTCAGGTCATTTGCCAAACAGTATTTCTCAGATTGTCAATCGCTTAATCTTGTGTTCGAGGATCCTTCAGCAGGTGATCCTACAAATCTTACCTGTTTGCATGAACAGATACATCTTCGATGCTTATTTTGGTTGTTTCCCCGATGTTAAGCTTGGCCTTTGCAATGACATGATGTAGATGTTCAGTTTAACACAATTTATGATGGTTTTCTAGCATTAGATGTTCATGTCCCTTAGACCAGTCTTAAGTCTTAACCCAATATTCAATAATTTAGGTTTTCTGGCACTGAAAATTCTCTACATCTTTTATTGGCAAACAAATCTACGTCCAAGGTATTCTGTATTTTGAGGATTCATTGTAAAATGAGTAGTGTAATACTGGCTGCTAACTTACTACAACCCTCATCATTTATCAGGCTTGAGACCGGCAATGTGAAGGAACTCAAATAGACGGAGTTGTTTTAGAAGCTTATGAACGGAAAAAAAGAGAAGTGTCTTTGCTTTTAGAAAGCCAAGCTGACCTCTTGTATGGTCACTAAGACCTCCATACTAGACCAGACTTCCACTTCTGAACATTTGATGACCCACGATCTTCTTGGCACCTAATTGCTTTCATAATTTCTTCCGTTGACCAGTTCTATGGTTTAGTGTATGTAACCAAAAGGCTCAACTCACATTGATGAAATTAAGATGTTGAGAGAGAATTCCAGAGTTTGTGGAAAGAATTGACCGAAAAAAGAAGACAGAATATTTCTGCGTTTTTTAAAAATGTTATGGTATTTTCTCTTCTTTCACAAAACCAGATTTAATTTACTTAGAGAAGTTGATTATCAGTAGTGAGTAGTCTCCCTGCCACGAAGATGGGAGCTTTTCTGATCTTAGTCACTTTTAGCATGTCTATATCTAGAGTCTTTTAGTTTCCTATGCAAATGAAGTACTATTTTCTTGACAAGCTAATTCCCTTGATTTGTACTTGAATTTTATAACCCACATGTTCTGCTTTAAGGTTTTTAATTAATATTATTTGTCACAGGAGCTGCTGTTGATGGAGATTCAGGACAAACTGACCGAAATAATATGGAGAGAAATAGTGTAGTCCCTAGTTCAAGTAACCATGATGAAATTTCTCGGTTACCTGTCCCTCCAGTTGGGCATGGAGATACTCAACCACTGATGGCATTATCAGACCCAAGAGGAAGAGGGAATGATATGAGGTTTCTCGATGGAGGAAGTCAACTTGTTCCTGCTAAACAAAGTAGAGACCTTGCCCTTGAAGTAGAAGAATTTGATATTCCCTGGGAAGATCTTGTTCTGAAGGAGAGGATTGGGGCAGGTAATTCGAGCCTGCTGTTTTTTATCCTTCTTTTTAATGTTGTGCTATGATCGTCTCATCACATTTTAGTTATAGTGGGATGCTATAGTATCATAACAGCCACTTTTGATGTAACTAACACGGTTTATTGTATTTCAGGGTCTTTTGGTACCGTTCACCGTGCTGATTGGAATGGCTCTGTAAGATATTTTCCTTTTAGTTCTGTGCTCTTGATGCTCGTCTTGGTTATATCTCTTAACTTATTGAGCACTTCGGGGAGGTATTTATTCAGTGTAATTTTTATAAATTATTTGGGCATTTGTTTATTTCTATTTTGCTTTTGGCCTGATCCGCCTCTTGAATAAATGTTGTTGTTTTATCTCTCTCTCTCTCTCTCTTGCTTCTTCTTTTTGGGTAGTAATTGCCATGTCAAATTTGAGATATACCTTTCTGAATTACTCTGTTTGCTTTGCTTTTATTCCTTCATAATTGCATGCTGATGGAAGCTTACACTTATTAGGATGTTGCTGTGAAGATTCTCATGGAACAAGATTTTCATGCGGAGCGATTCAAGGAATTTTTGCGGGAGGTAATCTAGGGATCTCCCAATCTCCTCAACAAATGACAAGAAAACTGGATGAAAGAGAAAAAAAGGGTGTATGAAGACGAGAATGAGTGGATGTCAGTTTTATCATGTGTTTCCTCTAGACCAACTCCACTAATTTGGCTTACCTTTCATTTTTTTTAGGTTGCAATTATGAAGCGATTGCGACATCCAAATATTGTGCTTTTTATGGGTGCTGTCACTCAGCGACCAAACTTGTCCATAGTTACAGAATATTTATCAAGGTTTATCCTGGTAACTCCTCCGAATAATCAGACTTCTTATTTTTCGGTTTAGCTGACAGTGCCAATGCCGCAATTATATTACAGAGGGAGCTTATACAGACTTCTTCATAAACCTGGTGCGAGGGAGGTTTTGGATGAAAGGCGTCGGTTGTCTATGGCTTACGATGTGGTATGAATGCTTCCCTACTCTGCCACATTTTATTTATGATCAGGGGCTAATTTCATAATATCATCTTGTGCAGGCAAAGGGGATGAATTATCTACATAAGCGCAATCCTCCCATTGTTCATAGAGATTTAAAATCTCCAAATCTTTTAGTGGACAAGAAATATACAGTGAAGGTGAAAAATGCAATTTATCTTCTCAAAAAAAAAAGATTTATCTTTTTCTATTGATACAATTCTAGACTTGTGCTATCAGAGTAGTGCTCTTTTGTTTGG